AAAGTAATGAATATATCCCAAATTGAACTTTTCGCATAATAAAATACTTTCATATCGTTCATTAATTCCCAACAAATATTTGTTTATATTAAAATGTCAAATTGATTGTCTGCTCAAGAAATCATCAAAGACCAGAAAGAACAAATACTAGCGTAATTAGGATTATACTAATTGATTTGGACAGATTTAGAAAAAAAAACAACTAACTAGGAAAATGTCATAAACATTCAAGTTAAATCAAAATATATAATCTACCAATTAAATTCCCTTATCACTTTTATCACTACTTAAAGATCATGAAAATATTCCACATTTTAGCACATATATCACGATAAATAGGTAATGAATAGATGGTATATAATAGCGAATTGTGAATAAACTTTTTTTTCAAAAGCTAAATTTGATAAAATGAACAAAATTGACTCCCGCGCAAGTAATGCATGAAATCATTTCCAGTAGACTAATATTGCATCTCGTGTTTGGATATAGTTATGCTATTATTAAGAATGAATTACACTGGATGTGAATATTCAGATAATCGTGGTAGTATTTTGAATATCAAATAATTTTTGCATAGCTAAACCTGGCTATAAAATGCTGTAGAAGTTTTATACTTAAAAAAGATCGAAAAATAAATGTAGAAAAATTAAATTATTCATTACGTTACAACGTAACCCAAAAATACTTTTCCGAAAAAAAAAACGAAAGCTCATAGAAGGTTCGACAGATTGCATATGAAAATCTCAGGCAAGTAAAAAACTAAAATAAGATATATGCAAATTAGTACACCGGCTTGTACTTTTTTATTTCTACCATAATATGATGAATATTGACTAGCTCCTTTAGGACAGCATTTTCTGCAAATACTTCATGCGATAATACTTTGCTAAATCGATGATAATATTGAACAATTTGTGTGAATGTTACCTGAAATATATACATATATATCATTATCAATAATTCTTCCAATAATTCATAAAAAAAAGAAAAAGAAAAGCGAAGAAGATCAAATCAGGTAGTAAAATTGTGAAGAATATACTAACCTGTAAGATGTTAGTACCATTTTTAAAATTTGTAAATGATCGAACAATTTCGTTGTTTATCGCGTCTATCGATTTCTTCCAATTAGCACAAAAACTGCGCACAATTTTTGTTACATTATCTGAATTGCACGTACTTCATGATAATAAAGATTGAACCTTGCAGTTACCAAAAAGTGAGTTTTGCTTACTTTTTTTTGCATAAAGACAATGAAAGAGGTATATAGAACAGCCCCAATTCGATATTCCCGACGATGTGTTGAACTCCTTTTCCTCCTCCCTCTCTCTCCCTCTTTCTCTCTCTTACCTCAGAAATACAACATAAATCAATTTAACAACTAATCAATCTGTAAAAGATAACTACAAAAGATGTTTTACCTGAATAACGAATTAAAAGCTGCTTGTGGCCTTGTTCAATCAGTGGTTCACATTCAGTGACAAATGACATCAGATCACCGAAATGGGGTCGAAGCATCAGTAAAACGTATTCGTTGATATGATTCTGTTTCAATTCCCAGAATGATGATTTTTCTTTTGAATCGAATGTCACTCGTTCCTGTCATCATAGTGATAGTAACACAAAGGCACATATCTTAGTGAATGGTGCAATAAAATCAAGTTTAATTAACACTAAAATAGCAAACCTCAAGAACACTGAGAATTAAATCATAGTTATTGATGAGACAGACCAACTGCTGTACGCGAGGAGTTAATTGTTCCGCAATACGAGTTAGGAAATTTTCGATCTCAGCTTGTTGCTTACTCAAATAAACCTGCAAAGATTCGATTTCAGTATTATTAAGGAAGAAATTTTCACTTCCTTGCTTTTCATATTTATTTACCAAGCGAGAGTAAAAACTAAAAATGGATCACATAGATTGAAATCAAAGATAATAAGGCATAATACCTGTAATTTTAGATCAATTCGTTGCATCGATGTCTGACTGCAAATCAGTAATGCAGATGTGAACTCCGCGTAACGTCTTATAACCTGATACATGATAAAAATCAAAAAAAGAAAAATATATTAAGAATTCTATAGACATAACAGCTAGAATATTAGAAGTATACAATACAAAAGGTAACGCTTTAAAGCTAACGTAATGTGGATGAGTGTCTGGTTGCAATTGTTGTAGTTGCATTTTATGCACATCAAAATCATGTAAGCTCGAATTATGGAATCCCATGACAACATCAAAACGATGCCACAACGTACAGTTCAATGTCTCCCAATAACTGTAATTTGGATATTTTAACTCAGTTCATAAAAAATATAAACCTGTTATGAATACCAGATTCCATTATCACGGTGTAGTTGCAGGTGAAAATTTTACCTCTCCAAAGCTGGAACTCCTCGTTCAATCATTAATTCTTTATATTTTGAACAGAGACCAATGCATATATACAGTGATATAGCATCATAATTAGAAGATATATGCTCTTCGCATGATTTCTGAGAAAAAATAAAATAATTTGAGGGATAAAATCTAGAAAATTAACTGTTACAATGCAACCGTAGTATTTATGCAAAAAATTGTATTTTTTTAAATGCTAACCAATAAGGTTGTTATCGTACGCATTATAATTTCGCTAAAAAGGTCAAAAGAAGTCTGCCCATTGATCATGAAAAAATCCGATACAAAAAGATATTCGTGTGAGGAGTGATCCACAAATGCAAATTGCAGACTTCGAAATAAATTCTCAAATTGGAACTGCAATTGATTGTTTAATGGATTCAAAAATTATTACTCATTCACACGAAAAATAACACCTATTACAGATTACATATATCGATATACATATTTTTTCTCTTATTGCATTAATTGAACAACAAACCCGTTCATTTGCCTGTTGTGCTACATGCGGTACAATAAGCGGGGACATCAAATCAGATGATAACAAAGCATCTCGATTACCCAGAGAAAAAACGGTTGCTCGATTTCGTATCTGCAATAATGGCAAAATAATGTTTACTTATTATAACATATTTTAAGGAAATTATAGCATTATGAGGAGCCACAGCGTCTCCATAATTGTTAAAAAACAAAATATGATCGAAGAAATAATAAGACAGGAAAACTTCATTTTAAAAAGAAAAATAACTTTGTTCTACACGCACTATTCTATATGACTTGTTCTATATGCAATATAAAATAGACTGTTTTATATGCAATACGGCATTTCCATCAAAACCAACATACCTGAGATTTTAAGCTAAAAAGACTGGATGTCTTCACCGTATTTTCTACGCCCAAAAGGTCATCTTTGGTCGCTACATCAGTTAGCTGAAATTGCTCATGGGTAACACAGCTGCTTATGATAACCTAGAGGAAGGTTGCAATGTTTACGAATACTTGCAACGATACCCGTCAGATTTAATTAGTGCTAAAATTAAATCCATGCTTGATCACAGCATTAATCTTGCTAGTCAAAATGTTACATTAAATTAATTGAAAAGTAACTAAATTAACAGTGAATTGACACAAAGGACGTACCAGCAAACGGAACAATCTGGATGCGTATGTTTTGAAGTAAGTGAAAAGCATTTTACTGATGACATCAACATATTCATCCCGAATCTAAATAAAAAGGTCTACAAAGTATCTAATATGAATATAAGTATTTATTACTCATCACTAATCAAAACATTAATTTTTATCAAGTTTTCTTAGCTATATTTTATTGTCATTCCCTTCGAATCACGCGTTATGAGACTTCCACATTATATTCAGGAAACTGTTATCAATAATACTTACCTCTCGAGCCAAATGCCTGTCATTTGCCAACAAAAATTCGTAAAAGAATCTGAAATTTTTTTTATTGTGCATAAACAATTTTTGAAAAGTATTCTTTGAAAGTTTGATAAATTTCGACCGATTTCTCGAAATAATATGATGACAAATAGCTGATAAGATTATAGGCTGCAACTACATAAATATTGCATAATTATTTGCAGCAGTAATCAACCGATTTTTAAGAAGTGCTCCTTGTGGAATTTGATAATTCGTTAGCGGTTTTTTAAAAGATGAAATCTTCAAAAGTAGCCACTCTCTTATCTTTGCCATTGCCTGAAAGTGCAATAATTCATCAATGAACACTTTGCTTCAACACGTGCCACAGAAGACAGATAACGATACTTGTCCATACAATCATTTAAATTCAAACCAAACTTGCCTTGTATTTTAAATTTTCGACAACATCATGCACATCAGAAGTAGCTTTTGCGTCACGGAATTCTTGTGTCTTCAGGAACTGCAGCTTATGTTGAAGTTCGTGGAGTTGCTCAAGAAATTCACGTTCGCCAACGTCTCGTTCAACGATTGTTCTGCAACACATAAACAGTATCAGAAAATTAATAAAACTCAGACTAACTTCTAATAACAATGGAATGTAATACAGAATTGATCATAAATCACTGCTATTATTAGATATGCTATCGTATACATCTGAAGGTTGTTCATTAAAAATAGATTTAAAAAATATCAAAAAAAAGAATGCACTAACTGTATCATATTTTGTGATACAACCATATCATCAACAAATTGGCTTAATTCTCCCCGAATTTTTTGTCGATTCTGCAGCTGTTGACTGATATCGATTGATTGTTGTTGCAGTCTTTTCATGTCTGAACTGATAGTACCCAGTTCTGATTGAAAACCTCGAAGCATCTCTTCCAATTGCTAAATTTATCCAAAACTTTTCCTTTAATCTATTGCATGGATGAATTTACATCTATTGCATGGATGAATTTACAAAGTGACAATAAACAATGAATCAGACAATAAATCAGAGATTTGTGACAAGTAAATGATTACACTAAACTCTACATCTACCGTATTTGAATGTAGCTCTAAAACCTTTTAACTTTAGATGGATACACTTGTAAAATAAATGTATGCAGTTGGAATAACACTGAGCTTATAGATATAATAAAAAGTTAAATTCTACAGCAAATGCATCGTCGCATGCGGTGATTTCTTCATGTAATTCAGCAAGTTTCTCCGCTTGATCAATACAGTCTTTCACGGCAAGTAAATGAGCTGATCGAAGTTGTTCCTGCAATTCCGCGGAATACTGTCGTAAATCAATACCCGATTCGAAAGCTTTTCGAACTGATACATCATCCAACTGGAAAGTGCAAATATATTCCGGTGAAAAAAATTTTATGAAAGAGAACAGTAAAATTACAACAACCAATCACATGTTGAACATACATTTCTTCGATCTACGAGTTCATTGATTATTTTAGCTAAGCTTACAATAAATGAGGTGTTTTTCGAGCTACTGAAAACAGATAGTAAACGAGACATTTTCCGAATTACCAAACGGCTCAACCTAGAACGAATATGCTGAAGATCCTAAGAAACAATTACGGGAACTATTAGAAGAAAGTAATTAATATTATTTATTCAACTCAGACATTATTACCAATAATGATCCTTCATCCTATTTTTATCGCTTATTTATGTGATGCTACTTTTATTTAAGTGATTTGTAATTTACTTTACACCATATTTTTGGATTTACTCAAATAATGTTACTTCTATAATTTAACTATGATACTGTTTTTAGCATTCAGCTTGTTAATCGGAAGTAGAATGGAAGAACTGATAAATGATTTGAGGGAAAGAATTATGATATTCGAGTTAAACTTATACAATCACAATAGAATATCATCATCGAATATCATCATTCAAGGATCAGCTTAAACATCATGCATTTCATCATCACTTCAACATATCAATAGTAAACTTACTATCAATCACTTATGCAAATAAAGCTATATGGATAGAGCAGGATGAGGAGACTTTAATTCATCTGTTGGAAAATTAATCATTACTATTGGAAAACTGAAAACTAATCATTACGATGTTCAATTAATCTGTTAAAAAAACTAATCATTAGGAAGCATAATTAATCTGCTAAAAAAAAATAATCAATGCGAAGTCTAATTAATCGATTAAGACGAACAAGTTAATGAAAATAACAAGCCAAACTCTAATAGTTCGTCTCCTTGAACCATTGCTAATGAAATATTAGAAAGATTAACCCCAATATCGTCGGTAATATCAACAATATCGCAATCTTCCTTCATTCCATTACTCTTATTCACTGGATCTTTTTTCAAAATTCCTTCAATAATTCTTCAATGTAGCATTAAAGAATTATTACACCAAATTTTCAAAGATTCCAATTACAACGAAGAATAATTAGTAAATTTCCTGTAAAATAATATTTTATTTCTTTGTGAGGAATATTACCATCGTATACAAAAATATCATAAATGTAATAATCTATTATTATTCTATCATGTTTTCAGATATTTCTGTAATTTGCTTGGAGAAATGATTAAATTATGCGAACATTTTAGCATCTATTTTCTCATTTCCCATATTTCATATCAGTATCCCAGAGTAAATATTATTGAATTGATCCATTCATTGTAAATGGATTATTAATAAATAAAGGTAAAGTTTGAAAAAAAAATATATATATATATCCTATGATCGATAAGCAGACTATCCAAACTTCTCTGTGCTTATCGATAACTTTCATCCACAGTCCAAAGTTAACAAAGTTTACATTTCGCATTATAACAAGCTTACACGAACAAGGTTATTCAAATCAAGAGATAAATAACAAATTAAAACTAGTAATGGGCTTGTATACGAATACTGCAGCCAGTCCATCCAATTATGATGTTACTTGTATCACAGATTTCTTTCAAGGACAATAGTTTGGATTCCATTATAAAGATGTTCATATCATAAATGTGTAATGCTTGCAAAATTCCATTAACATCTTCATGTAAAAAGTCAAGAGACCGTTTCCCACTAATCTAATTTATATGATTGCTCGAGGTTGTGGCAAATGTGATACAATTATCCTAAATGCTGGCATAAGTTAACTGGCAAGTAGCAGTGCTTTAATTGTAAATGCAATTCCTGTCAGGAATGATGACCACTGAAACAGAATTTTTATTAATTCAAGAATGGTGATAATGTTGAATATTACAGTTCAAGTATAAACATGACAAAATAATACAATTATCAATGCAAGGAAATAATAAAAATCATAGACTATACAGGGAAAACATAGAAGATGGATTGCTCAGGTACAAATGGCTGAGCATAGGAATATTTGCCGTACCAATTCCACCTAATGGAGTTCTTTACTAACAACCATATACACATATGTTAGGGAAAATAGTTAAGATGAAACGAAGAAATACTGAAACTGAAACATATTTATATATGTGACAATTCAATAAGATCGGATCATCGGTTGAACCCAATCTGTTTCGTTCTTGTCCAACGTCTGGTCGATTACCGGTCGGTAAAGCAAATTAATCTAAAAATGAAATTTACTGTGCATCAAACAAAAGGAGGAAAAAACTAATATTACGAAAGAAAAAAAAACCGGAAAATCAAGAGAATACAAGGAATGAAAGAGGCTGGAAGAAATTACTCGAAATTAGGGTTTGAATTACTTATATACTTTAACATTTCTCCTTTTCCTTGCATCCTACAACTAATGTCCTCTTTCATGAATCTCCTACATCTAAATATATTCCTTACATGCATCTAATTACCCACCTTTCCAGTCTCGTGATTCTGTTCGATGATAGTATGCTTACGCCAGTGCTGATCGAATGGTTTCTTAGTTTGGCCATCTAGCGGTTTCGAATAATCAAACTCATCTATTCGTGTCTGAAATAAAGAATGCAAACTTGCAAAGAGACAAATTCAATAGACGTAAACAAGTGTTGATTTATTAAACCAGTGATCACGAAAACATTCAAACCAGATAACCCAGTAACGATATATTAACAAACCGGGAAATCGTCTCGAGCATGTGCTCCACGACTTTCTTTTCTAGCTTCCGCAGCAACAATAGTCTGGGTCGCATTTAGCATTAAATTCTGTAGTTCTAATGTCTCAGCAAGATCCGAATTCCACACTAATCCACGATCTGTTGTTTTAAGAAGTTTTTGTTCCTTGAAGAGAGCCTCCATCTTTGTAATACCTTCCTGCAATGTTAGTGATGCAATGATGCTTTAACGCAAATTATGTGTTCTTTTTCATTCACGATCCTATGGGATATCTTTCACATTCTTTAATTTGCTTATACTCTATCATGGCATTTTTTTTAGGACTCGACTTTAAAAACTTAAAACGGATGTTATATTCTCATTTTTCAACGATCTCACCTTCAAAATGTCACCGCGTCGGAATACAGCTGCATGCTGTTGCATTGTCTTTTGCATTTTCAATCTTAAAGCAGCGGTAGGAATATCACCTCTGGCAAAGCGTAACTTGTCGACGTTTGCAATGGTTAATTCTCCCGCACCTTTCGGTAATTCAGGAATCTTCTCAGGCGATTTCTTAGCCTTCTCCAGAATACTGCAAATCAGAACATTCTGTATCGGTATTGTTATACAAACACAATGTAACAATCAACATATATCTTATAAAAAGCAGAATTAAAAAATCACATAAAAAATTACTCGATAGCACAAGCACGTCCGAAAACGACAAGATCTAGCAATGAATTAGCTCCCAGACGATTCGCACCATGCACCGAATGTGCTGCTGTTTCACCACAAGCATATAATCCCGGCACTAGCTGTAACTTCGTACATTGTTGCAATCATTTAAGAAGAGGAATATCAGAAGGGCAAAAACTGAATAAAAAAAGAATAAATGAATTTCTTGTAATTTACTGAATGAAATTTCACCTGATCACCTTTATCAGGTTTATACGTTAAGACTTGTCCCATATAATTCGTTGGTATGCCGCCCATGTTATAATGAACCGTTGGTAAGACGGGTATTGGTTCCTTTGCAGCATCTACACCAGCAAAGATCATTGCCGTTTCCATAATACCTAGACGATAAGCACAACAGTCATAGTTCCAACGTGACAAAATCTAATTTGTTGGTTGGATTTATTTAACTCCTTGAAAAAATTGCAATCAATTTAAGCAAAATCAACTGCGAAAGTCATAAGGATTATGAGGCTTAATTTCAAAATATAGTGATATATTACGGCCTTGCAGTATTATGATCTGTGCTGCTATGAACACTAGAATATACACCGGAAACTTATAAACACCGAATTTCTTAATGTTCTGAAACTAATCGTACCTGGCAACTTGGCATGCAAATCTTTCGCAGGTAAGTGGTGCAGCTGCAAATAAATATGATCTTTATTCTTCCCGACACCACGACCTTCCATGATTTCGATCGTTATCGCCCGCGAAACGACATCTCGTGAAGCCAGATCTAAAGCATTCGGTGCATACTTCTTCATGAAGCGTTCACCTTCACTATTCACCAAATAGCCACCTTCGCCTGAAAACACCATATCTTATTATTAAGAAAAAATTACAGTATTAAAAAATTACAAAAATTATAATAAAAAATTACAGCTGTAAAAAACTACAATTTCTCCAAATAATAATTATATAAAATGGTCAATTTGCCACAAAATACTACCTCGAGACCCTTCAGTGATGAGGCAACCCGCACCATAAATACCGGTTGGATGAAACTGAACAAATTCCATATCGGAATTCTGCAGTCCAGCTCGAGCAATCATCGCCGTGCCATCACCAGTGCACGTATGTGCAGAAGTACAACTAAAGAAAGCTCGTCCATATCCTCCTGTTGCGATTACTGTGTTCTTCGCACTACAAAAGTACACTCAAAACGACATGTTTTACCAATTCTCCCTCCTTTCTCCCTCTCTCTCTC